AGGGTCCTCAGCACCTAAAAGGCAGAAAATTTGAGGTGTCGGTATGATACGGTTGATGATATAAATCCTGCATGACCCATAATAAGAAATATACCATAAATTCCATAGTCTGGGGTCCTTAAGGTAATGCAGGATTTATATCATCAACCGTAGTACCCATTTTGGGAATACATACCGACTCGGTATGTATTCCCAAAATGGGTACTGAAAACTGTTATGGTTTGGCACGTATCCCAGAATATAGATACCTAGGACGCTCTGGGATGTCAACACCTTCGGTGGGGGGTCGGGTAGTTCCGACAAAGTTTGTGAGATCTTGTAGCAGTGTACGATTGCAGACACCCCGGAGCCCCACGGCCTGCAAGTCTAAAAGTCTAGTGTGCGCTCCTCTGCAGCCTCTCGTGAACCAGACTGTCTATCGGATTCCAAACAGAAGCACCCAAACGGTTATCCTACTTTCTATAGTTTGAGACAGGCCTGTTTTGTTCTGGTGTTCCGGAACAACCGAGTTAGGCTTTAGGGTTGACCTTGAGCTACCAACTGCTACCAAAACCTAGTGTTTAGGGCTTAGGGTTGTAGGGTCCCCACCAAGTCTTGTTGTCGATCAGTTCGGGTTAGTGTGACGACATGACAGCACGTCTCCAGGAGCATGAGGGACTTTGTGCAGCGCCGGCCTCGACATGCGAAAGGGGCGCACCCTAAAATCCTTAAGACACTTAACAGTTGAAGGCCGTAAGACCCTTATGCCCCCAAAGCGCCGAAAGGCCAAAGACCCTAAAACCCTTAAGCCCTAAGATCCCCAAACCTAGAACCTCAAAGGCCGTAGGGTTTGGAGTCTGGCGTTTTCGTGTGGCGTTTGAATTGAGGCTTCCAGGAACTCTGGAAGGTTTCTGAGGGGTGTGGGGCTTCATGGGTTATTGAGTTTGCGGTTTATAGGGCTTACAGGATTTACAGGGCTTATAGGGTTGTATGGTTTACGGGTTTATAAAGGGTTTAGAGTTAGAGTTGAGGCAGTAAAGGGTGTTGGGTTTCGGGGTTGTGGGTTGAGAGTTCAGTGCTTAGCAGACGCCACAAAATAGCTCGGAAGCGTTCGGGCATCCGGTCTGAATTCCGTCGGCTCCACAATCAGTCCTGGGGTTGAAAGCTCCAATCTAAACCCCCCATTCCTATAGTATCTCAATTGAACCCGAAAAACTCCGAACCCTAAACCCCAGACCGTAATGCCCTAAACCCGAAAGCCCTAAACCCTGAGTGCAAGCAAAGCCAGTCTGCAGCCAAAAGCTTTCAGTCTGTTGAGACCTCGAATTCTGCGTTTATGCCTGAATCCTCCAGTCGCCGTAGTCGAGCAGTATTAGCTGTAGCAGCAATAGCAGAAGTAATTAGTAGTAGCCGCCGTCGTCCTAGTTGTCGTCGTCGTAGTCTTGCTCGTCGTGGCGGTAACCGTCGTCGTAGTAGTGGTAGCAGTAGCAGTCCCAGCAGCATTAGCCGTAGTGGTAGCAGTAGCAGTAGTAGTCAGTATTAGTAGCAGCAACAGTAGCAGCAGGAGTAGCAGTAGGAGTGGGAGTGGGAGTAGGAGTAGTGCTAGTATTAGTCGTAGCATTAGTAGTAGTAGTCGTCGTCGTAGTAGTAGTGTAGATCGTAGTGGGAGCAACAGGAGGAGGAACAATAACACGAAGCTTCTACTTTTTTTCAATGCCACGACCGAGGATGACAAAGGAGGTGGAAGACTTACCTGCGATGCTGACCGAGGCCGAAACTGGTACCTCAAAAGCGGTACCTGTGAACAGAGTCCACCCAAGCCCAAAGACTAGAACACATGCAACTTTCCACCAGTATGACTTTTCGCTCTACATTTCATCTCGTCATAACTCTTCTGGTACCTTGATTGGTTCCTCTGAAGTTCCAAATTCTACTGCAACCCTCCGGTCCCCAAGTATTACAAGCAAGTTGCTCAAGCAGCAGAGAAGGTTTCAGGTGTGCAGGCAATTCCTTCTGCAATTCTTAGGCTACAATATGGAAGCCTAATCAGACAACTACAAAGAGTTGTTCCTCAAGAGTTCCTTACCATACATATAGCGTAACATATCCTAAATTACAGTAGAAGCCTAAAAGTTGGAGACCCAATAGCATTAATCCTTAAGAGTGATGTATAGGGAATCCGAGCACTATTTGGCCTTAATCCGGTTTCTAACTTTCTGGGGTTTACTGTAAAGAACAGTTCTAATTATTCAGGCCCGTTCTTTCTGGGTTCGTGTTTTGCGGCCAAAAAACGAGAATGCCTTGAACTTGAAGGTTTGACCCCCCCCCGTGCATGGACGCACGGGCTTTTAATGTAGGAACCTGACCCGGAGTTTCCGAAAATGTGGGTACCTTATTTGGGGGTCCTTATAATGAGGATCCTCCTATTTTGGTACTATATTAGGGTCCGGGTCCTATAACCCCGATATATTAGGATTCATAAAGGAACCCTAGTAGAAGCCCAAGGTGTCTTAATCAGGATCCTATATTAGGGCTTACCTGGACCCTAAGAACGTTGCTTAATATGGCTTCCTTGTATAAGTCCTTAAAAAGGAAGGTTGTTTAAGGGTCCTGGTAGAGTCTACATTTTACAGCCATTTGCCTACATAGGCGAAGCATAGACGTCATAGATCTGCTAAGTTGCTTGGCAACTACTAAGTCAAAGAAGCAGCAGTAGCAATCGTCACACAGCACCTTACTCGATTGGAGCGATGCTCAACGCAGCAAAAAAAGCCATCTCTGTCTATCGTATGTGCAGCTACCTAGAGGGTCATACCCTACCCTTTTTTTGGATACCTAGTTTTATGGTTAGGTTCTCTCATATAGAAAAGTAGGTACCTTAAAAAAGGGGAAAGGTATGACCCTATAGGTACTGTCATCAGTAGAGGCGCCCTCAACCCGAAACCTCAGACCCCCCGAACCAAAAACCTTTGTTGCTGCTAAGCTTGGTAAACGGATATGGTGAACCCCAGAAAGTTGGAACATGGATTTAGGAGGATTAGTGCTAGGATCCCTTATACTTTACCTTAAAGGCATGGGGATAATGATGTTCCAACTTTCCGGCTTCTACTATACACCAGAAAAGTTGCAGGCCGCAGATCTCGAAAACCGGAAGATTACCAAGGCGAGGATAAAGTCTGAGCTTCCGGTTTAGGGCTTGAGGGCTTAAGGGTTTTTTTGGGGGTTATGGGGGTTTAGGGTTTAGGGTTCGGTTTTGTGTTTTTTTTGGGGGGGGGGTAAGACCTCCATTGAAGGTTCAACAAATACAAAGTGTTGCATAGGGACGTCACCTTCTTCCCTCCTTGGCTTGCTGGTTTTGGGGTCTAAGGTTTATGAACTTAGGATTGGGTTTCGAGGAGCAGGTCTTAGGAATTTTGAAACTCTTGTGGGTTCCGAGTCTGGGGCTCAGGTTGCTGAAGTCAGTTTCAAATTTCAGCTTGGAAACCTCTTACAAACCATCACAGTCATCCCTTATCTAGAAACTCTACAACTTCTACTATGTCAGTACTTCGGATCTTTTGGGCGTGTGTGCGTGTGCTCTGGTCACTTTGCATAGGGTTTTGCGCACTACATGAGATACGATAGCGAGCAGGTGGCGCTGTGCGCACTGGGTACCCATCAGAAGGATCAACGCGATTCCTGGGACTGGTGCTCTTTAACTCAGCAGTCTTGCTTAAAGGATCATGAGACTTAGTAACTAGGGTTATAATTAGGGTAACTATACTTATAACTATGTACTTAAACCCCATTTGAAGTACTTATAACCTTGCTTACCAAGTCCCATGATCCTCTAAGTGTTGTTAGGACGCAGTTACTTCCTTTCGTTGCATCTGTGTCGAAGGGTGGACTCGTTACTGCTATTGGCCTGGGCTTGCCATTGGAAGTATTCTGGGCAGCAAGTCGTAGTGGTCGTGCCAAAGGTAGTGATCGTGGAATCGTGGTGGTGCTGGTGGTTGTGGTGATATTAGTATCAGTAATAGTTGTAATTAGTTGTCATATTTGAAGAATTATAAATAGTAGTAGTGGCAGTAATAGAAGAAGTAGTAGTCAATGTAGAAGTAGTAGTCGTCGTCGTTGTAGACGTCGTCGCAGTCGTAGTCGTAGTAGTGGTGGTGGTGGTGGTAGTAGTAGTAGCAGCAGCCTACAGCAGCAGCTTCAGGAGTATTGGCAGTGGCACTTGTGCTCGTCGTCGGCGTCATGGTCTTCGTTTTTGTTGTCAGTGGCCACTTTGTTATCGTCGTCTCTCGTGCTCAGCGTTCATGATGTCTCAAACTTACAGTTACACATACACAAAACCACTCACAGATCTAATGCCTTGTGGTTTTATGTGACCTTCCTTCCCTCTAGTGTAAAGAAACTTGGGGGCACCCTGGAAGCCGCCATGCACAGCAGTAGCAACCCCACGTGTCCTGGCCAAGTACACACATGCTCAGAAACTCAATGCTCAAGCAGACTCCCAGGCTTCAACCAAGTCGTCCGTGCGAATACTGTTTAGGCTAGTAAAGAGTATGTTTGTATGCTTGGGAATGAACTAAGTAGGGGCTTTCCAACACCAGCCAAGTCAAGTATGGGCACCAATCAGGGAAAGCCCAGACATGAAAACCTCGACGATGAACCGTCTGGAAAAGATCTTATCGAACGAAGGCCCAGGCCTATGCCTATGCCCTTTAGGACAGACCTGACCCCGAAGTGCAGCCTGATTCCCGAAATTTCGGGGTCCAGTGCTGTTTCCTGACACCAGAAAAGTTTTCGAAAGCTGTGAAGCCAAGCTGAAGAACTTCGATCCAGTTCTTCTCCCGTCGTCGCGCAGAGGACCTGCCCATCATCTGAGTTCCTGCTTAAGGGTATAGGGTGTAGAGTCCATGGCCGACAATTCAGCTTTGAGGTATGGTATGGCGGGACATAGATACATCGACTTCGCTGCTGCCATTCGCGAGATCAAGCCTTAGGCGTCCCTGCGTCCTTGCTTTCGACGCACAGCCATGTCACTGACTCTTCTGTACCACTGGCCTGACTTGCCTGGCTTTGTGTTTGAGTCCTCAAGAAATGCTACAGAGAATGCTTTTATCGTCCACATATAGCTATTTTTCAGAAGAAATTCACGCACTCCCTTTGTTAACCTGCAAAGCCCAACTTAAGGAACGCTTCTGTCCACGGTCCAGCGCTGCAGGATTCGGGCTGTCGTCGCGTTAAGGGCAGAAGGGTTAGAGGATTTGCAGCATGCGGTGGAATGCGGGTGTGCTTATCTGTGCATTTGCATAAAAGCTATATATAAGAGAAGCAACAGGTATAAGTATTTAGGCATTCGTTCATACATGCATACGGATAGATGTATAGATGTTTGTGTGTATACATGTGTATACATGCGTAGACACACACACACACACACATGAACATCCCTTTCCGTGAGATGTGTTTTTGCAGGTCCCGCCGGTCTGTGGCGCCGCTCGTCGCGCCGCGCTTGGCTGCGGCAGCACGCCGAAGCCGCTCGGCTTCAGTCATTAAGCCGAAGGGTTTTAGTTAGCAGCATTTAGGACTCAGGTTTAGGGTGTAGGATATTCCCAGCATGCTACTCCGAAGTTCCTTAAACTCCCGAACCTGTGTAGGGTCTAATGTCAAAGAGTTGGTCGGTTGCTAGGGCGCTCTTTGTACATACCGAGCTTTGAACGCAAACATAAAAAGTTCAGGGTGTTGGAGTATCTGATAACGAGTATTATTGTTTTTGTTATTATATATATATATATATATATACAGGCAACGGAAACGTTCAACCGATGAGGTTAGCAGAGACGATCATGAGCCGAATCGTTCAGGGCCCTGCTGCGTCTGTCATCCTTAATATAGGGGCCTTAATCATTAGAATAGGGTTTTGGGGCCCGGTTTTAATTACAATAAGGGGCCCCCGAAATCGTATTGGTAATTATTTCGGCCCTTATATTAGGCCGTGGGCATCGTCCGTATGGTTTCTGGTATGTCGTGCTTTATAATAAGACTACATACGGACGAACAAAACAAGATACCGCCTCATGCCGTAGACTCCAGCAAGCCTTACTCGGCTTTTTAAAATCTCGTCTACAAAGTCACACATCCTACGAGCCATCGGTACAGCCAGTGGTCAAAGGGTCCTAGGTACTATTGTTGGGGATACTTGCCCAACTCATAGTAGTAACTCCTATATTGTATAGAAGCCCTATATACAGAGGTACTTTGGACTCTTTGGGGTAGGAACTGTCCAGCCGCTTGAACATGCCGGGGGTTCTCTTATCCACTCGGACAGCCAGTCTGGGCCTCAATTGCCACCCACTGCCAGATTTACGCTATCTTTCCCTAAGGGTCCTAAGTGGTTATATTGGGAGATACTTACGCAATCATACTCATGAACCGTTCCTATGTAAACTCTTCATGGCTCCATCGCAAGGCCTCTCACCAATTCCCACTGCAAATTCATGGGAGTGCACGGGAGAGAAACCCTGAGTTCTGGGATGTGGGTGCCTTGGACGCTTTGGTTTTCGACCTTCGTGAGGTTACCATGAAGTCGTCCATGACCACTTCAACAACCCGCGCAACGTGGGCAGTTTGGACAAGGAGGATATCGGATATCTTTGGGAGGGCTTCGAAGCTTTTCTATGCCTCAAGGCCAGCCAGGATATGGTAGCCTAGCCCAAAGGCGCCACTAGGATCCTTGTCGGATCATGTTGAGCGAACCGTCTTAATGTGTCATCCTAAATCATAGGGCCCACCCCCCAACCCCCGCGACCAAAACTTTGGGCTTGAATAGTCCGGTGTCAGTGACCGCTAATTCGCCGAATCGGGCTTTACCTTAGCATCGTTCGACAGGTCGCGGCCTTAGACAGACAGTGCAGCAAAAAGTTATAGGAGCCCTAAAATTAAAGGAACCCTCAACGCAACCCTTAAAGGAACCCTATAGGTTATAGGAGCCCCAAAAGGAACCCTTAACGCAACCCTTAAAGGAAGCCAAAAGTACCCCGAGTCCCAAAAAAAAGGACAAGACCGTGGGATCTGCTCTCGTGGGAAAGGCCCGCTATGCATGGCGTTTGGGTCTTCGAGGATCAGGGTTTAGGATTTGGGGTTTAGGATTTAGGGTTTAGGATTTGGGGTTTAGGGTTTAGGATTTGGGGTTTAGGGTTTAGGATTTGGGGTTTAGGGTTTAGGATTTGGGGTTTAGGGTTTATGTAGGAGTTGGGGTTTTGGGTTTAGGGTTTTGAGATTGCAGGACTTGCAAGTTTAGGGATTTCGGTTGGGGGATGAGGGTTTACAGTAGAAGCCAGAAAGTTGGAACATGAGTTTAGGAGGACTAGTGCTAGGATCCCCTATGCTTTACTTTAGGGGCATGAGGATACTGATGTTGCAACTTTCTTGCTTCTACCATGGGATTAGGGGTTTGGGGTTGTGAAATTACAGTATTTGAAAGTTTAGGGATTTCGGTTCTTCCCGGGTTTAGGTTTAAGGGCTCTGGGGATTTAGGCGGGTTGTAGGGCTTAGGGTACCCAATAATTCACCCTTGGCCCATATAGAATCATAAAGATCCCTGATATAGAGGCCTTAATAATTACCTATACTATTTGTGGCTGCCTTAATATAATTTTTGTAAAATATACCCAAAACCATGTTCTAATGGTTAAGGCCCCTACATTATTTACATGGCATTTAGGACTTCCGGGTAAGTAGGGGACGCAAGGATTTCGAATCAGGGTCTTTGGGGAGTCGATATAGGCTTTAAGCATCTGTTGGGTCTTATTGAGTGTTGGAGGTTTAAAAGAGTTCCGTTGAATCAATGACGGTTTCATCGCGTTTTCCATGCGTTTGTAATTTAGGGTGGGGTCTAGGATTTGAGCCCTCTGCGCGGGTTCTGAAAAAACCTCATACAAAATGTAGGGGGCCTTCATTAGCACAGGGTTTTGGCCTATGTTGTATTATATGTCAAAAAAGTGCCGAGGGAATAAGGTGGGTATTTTGTCAGGTTCTTATAGAACGCTGATATAACCCATATAACCCATACATATCCTAATAAGAAACCCATATAGTACCCTTATAGGACCTTTGTAAAACCCGAACGGTCCGTATCAGGTGTTTTTTCGCTGAAACCTCGGCTTAGGGGATCCCTTGGCTGTTAGTACAATGGTTTAGGTTCTAGTGTTTAGGGTTTAGGGTCTAGGCTAGGGCCGAGGGTTGAGGGTTTAGGTTTAGGGTTTTGCGCAGGCGTCCTGCGGAGATGTGATCAAGCTTCAGGCACACGGCTGCTGATATGGGGGATGGGGGGGGGGTGGGGGCGGGGGGGGAAGTAATTCATTTGTAGGGTTGCTGCCTTCAATACTTTCGAATACTTTCGGCACAGCAATTATTAATATATCAAAACCGTCTAGACTTTCAGGTCTGCATATTGCCTGCTTGGGGCTGCCACAACACGTTGATAGTGACATAGGGAACACGAGAAAGCGTGAAGCCTGGCGTGAACCCCAGCCCCTTTAATTAATCAGAAATTGCAACTTGGGACGAAGGGCGTGATGCGGGCATTACCTATGGTCTCGACTGTGTTTCCTTTTGCAAGTTATTAATCAAGCAATTTGATGCTGCAGATGCCAGGATTGAATCATTCAAAGCAGCAGGTTAACCAGAAAGATAAATCACGACGGACATTGACACGGGTGGTGATGCATGTGGCTGGTTACAAGTACAAACCCAGCGAGCCCACAACAACCTCCTTCTTCAGGGCTTTACCCTAGCAGAGGCTTTGTTGCTATAGCCCCACCTCCTCCTGTTCCCGTTCAACAAAGGAGGTCAAACTGGGATTTGGGTTGCCTCCGAGACATATGCCGAGTACTCACTGAATCGACTGCACAGTTCGCCTGAGTTCGTAATTTTGTTCTGGCACGGCTTTGGCGATGGATTCAAAAGACCACAGAAGCACAACAAAGTGCTCAATAGTCCAGTGTTTGCCTCGTTTAGCGCGGGCTCGATTTTGAAATTGAGCAATAGGAAATAGGAACACTCATTCCTCAGGATTTCAATCTCGACGACGATTTCGCAGTTACGTGTTGACTCTGTTTTGCTGTAAACCTGATTTCGCACGCCTGGTGATGCATGCGGTCTGGGTGCTATAGAAGCGGTGATGTTGATGATGTTGGTATTGACGACGGTGAACCAAACAATGGAGATCAGTTATTGCTCACACCCCAAGCCCCAAACTTTCAAACATATTTTATCAAAAGAAGCAAGCAGATCACGAGGATTCGCAAGCACGGTATCCCAAGTTATCATGATGCATGATGCTTGCAGTCTCTGCAGCCCTACGACACAGCCCATAAATTCTACTGTATATATCTGACAGTTGGGTGTGATCAGAGCTATAGCTGATGCAGCAGCAAACATATTTATGACGAGGGCAGATGTGGGTCTGGAATTGCGGGTTGAAGAACTTAAGAGCGTCAGAACGCCTGGTTCGGAGACTTTGCTGCGTCATGAAGTACCACGTGATGTGGTATGGGTGTGTGTGTATATCTACATATATATATATATATATTTATTATTACTATCATCATTATTAATATTACTATTATTATTATGATTATTATTATTATTATCATCACTATTATTATAATAACAATAATAATTATTATTATTATTCTTATTATTCTTATTATTCTTATTATTATTATTATTATTATTATTATTATTATTATTATATATATATATATATATATACATATATATATATATATATATACACACACTGCATATATATCGGGGGATTTGCAGGCCGGGTGCCTCTTTTCATCCGTTAGTCCGCGGGCCCGCAAGCCTTCCCAGCTGCAGGTGAAAGTGGGCAAGGATGGCGTCATCGAGGACAGAGTCAGCACACCGCATCCCAGGTACTGAAGCGTTCCCTGTCATGGCTGCAACTAGGTTAGGTTTAGGGTTTAGGGTTTAGGGTTTAGGGCTAGGTTTGTGGTCCTGGCAGAATTCAAGGAACAATAGCTGCAGCAAGAGCAGCAGCAGCAGCAGTAGCAGCGCCTTCGTCATCTTGTGTTGTGGGGAGTAATTACCCTTTCGGGTGTCGTTCGGGATTGTTTGATTGGGATTTCTCTGACAATTGGGCCTTTTTATGTTCCGGGCACGTGTCCCGCCAGCGCAAAGCCGAACCGTGGACTGCAGCGCCGTGATGAAGATTAAGTGATTAAGCCTTGCATCCTTTCACCCTCCTGCCCCAGACCATAAAGCCCCAAACCCTGAACCCCGTACTCGTAAAACCCCAGAGCCCTAAAGCCTACACCTATAAGCCCAGGAAGAGCGAATCCAATATACACCCCCACCCCCAACATCTCAGACCCCTGAAACTTCAAATTTTTCGGACGCATAGTCCCTAAAGTGTTGCTTATCAGCCTCGTGGTATTCCACATTACATGCTTCTAGTCCCTTAACAAAATGCAGGCCTTTGAAAATCCGACAAGTCCCTCTTTACCTTTGACAAAGGCCTACAAAGCTCGTACAAGACCTAATGAGCCAGTTCTAGAGCGCCCTGCGACGCCCTTCTCAAGCCTATAAAGCTCTGGTAAGACACTATGCAATTCCTGTAAAACCAGCCCTAAACTCCGCAAACTCCCCAACCACAAAGCGACCCTAAACCCCTAAAGCCCTAAACCCTTAAAGGAACCCCTTAAAAAGGAACCCTTCTAGGAACCCTAGAGATCTCCCGAACCCGACATCCCCAAACCCTAGAAGCCTTGAAACCCGAAACCCCCGAACCCCTCATCTCCTACACCCTCAGCCCTACATCTCCGACCCCTAACGATCCCTAAACCCCAAAGCCTATACAACCCCATAAAACCCCATAAAACCCTATAAAACCCTATAAAACCCTAAACCCCTAAACCCTGAACCCTAAAACGCCTAAACCCTAAACCCTAAAACCCTAAAGCCTAATCCCTAATCCTAGATCTCCCGAAGCTCGCGGCCCTGATGTGAGGATGCGAAGTTCAAGACCTTCGGCTGTGGTTCGGCCATAGCCAGCTCTTCTTATGCCTCTTGGCTTAGGGGGTTTAGAGCTTACGGGTTTTAGAGGTTTAGGGTTTAGGGAAGTGGGGGGTTAGAGTTAAAGCTACCACAGGCTTTGTTGGTGGATTCGGCTGTTCTGCGTGTTTTGGGGAGGACGGGGGTGTGGTTTAGGGTTCGAGGGTTTGGGGCTGCAGGGTTTAGGGTGTAGGGTTCGCTGTTGATGGCTAGGCACGGACTCTTAGGTTTGGGCATGTAGGTTTAGGGTTGAGGGTTTGGGGTTTAGGGCTGGGTTTGGGGTTCATTCAGGGTTTGAAAAAATTCGAACACCACACGAAACCCCAAACCTTGAACCCTGAAGCGGCGGAACTTCGGTCCTAAAACGGAGGCGACGGAGATGATCATTGGGCAGAACATCAATGAGGCCAGAGAAATCTCCCCCAGGGTGGTCCTCTAACAACAGTCTGTATTGTAGTTCCTTTTTGGAGTTTAGCTCACAGGAACCCGAATACAACCTTGGTTAAACCAAAGAACGCCGGCTATTGGCAGTGTCATGTTCGGGTTTCGGGTTAGGGGCTTGGGGTGCGGCGCTCACGGTTTGGGACACCTGGCACGGTGGTTCCAAACAAGAGCGCATCAAAGTCAAGGACCCTGAACCCTATAGGACACTGAAAGAAACCCTGATAGAGCCCTCAGGGTACCTTCAAAGGAACCTTTAAACGGTTCTTGAACCCAAGCCAAGGCCCTGCACAGCACATGCCAAGCCGAAAACAGTTCACTAAATCATGAAGCTGGAACCCACAGCTGTTGATGATGGCAAGAGTCATGGACACGCCAGACACGTTTGCCTAGACCCCCCAAAGTAGGAAAAATAATGGCCCAAAACCTATAAAAGGCCATTATTCTATATACTTTTGAGGTCCAGGTGGTTGTATTTTGCCAAAGTTTGGGAGACTTAGAAGCGAATGTTAATCTGTTAGTTTCTCCAACTCGCAACCTTGAGACCTTCTGGGGTTCTGATAATGTGACACCGACACTGTACCACTTTCGCGCCACCCTGAAGAACGCTGCCTTTGATTTGCGTGGGGCTGAAGGGAAAACCCTAAACCCTAAACCCTAAACCCTAAACCCTAAACCCTAAACCCTAAACCCTAAACCCTAAACCCTAAACCAGATGCGCAGGGCGTCTCAATCTTGGGGATCTGAGCCACACTTCACAGAAGACGTAGGGTTCAATAGGGTTTCGGGTTTAGGGTTTAGGGTTTAGGGTTTAGGGTTTAGGGTTTAGGGTTTAGGGTTTAGGGGTTAATAGGGTTTCGGTTTCGGGTTTAGGGCTTACCTGCGTCCCCAAACCGGACATAAGAGTAGGTCATGATCCAAGAAATGCAAGGTTCCAACCCTTCAAACAGCAAGCGATCGGATCCACTGGCAGGGGTAGGGCTTAAGGCTCCAATTAGGGTGTACCCTATCCCTCCAGGGACCTTATTATGGGGTCCTTAAGGGGTCTAGGGCCCTAACTATGAGGTCCTTGGTTTGGAGCCCTTGAGTTGGCAAAGGGATCAATTCTCCTCAAGGCGAGAAGACTTGTAGGATGCTGACGAGTTTGTAGCGAATATGCACCTTTTGAACGTATAGTATAGGGTTTGGTTTAGGGTTTAGGGTTCAGGGTGGTCACTTGTCATCGAAGCAGAGAACTTGCTAACTCCTACACTCCAAACCTCTAAGCCCCACCAGGCATCCTTGACTCCACTTGAAGGTTCATGGGTAGTTAGAACTTAGGGGTGCTTAGAAATAGTTTTTAATATTTGGTTATTATAATCCCTAAGAAACAACAAAATTGTAATTTTTGCCAGGGTTCTAAGTTCAGTATAGATAAGTGGGGTTATAAGTTCCGTAATTCGGGTTAGAAGTATAGCTACATTTCTTATAACCCCACTTATCACTACCCATGAACCTCCAAGTGAAATGAGCGCATCACCCCCCCCCCCCCCCCCCCCATGCAGGCGTCGAAGTCGCGACCTCAGAAAGGGTGGAGTTCAGGGTTTAGGGTGGACCCGCAGTCTACAGATCTAATCAGCTGGAAAGGCATAGAAACCCTGAATCTGAGGGTTTATTGGGCTTTATTTCTGTTTCCCATGTAGTTTCATTCTGTTGAGAACCAGTTTTATGGTCCGCCCGGAACAATCACGAAGCCATGTTACCAACAAATCGAGAGACGTTGGAGCGTATGGGTAGATTCTGAACCGTAAGCCCTGATCCTGAAACCACGAACGCCTGATGCGAGACCCACACCTCGCGAAACCCACCAGAAGGGGAACATCTTAAAGGGAACTCCAGAAAGTTGGATAGGATACCCTATAATTTACCATAAAGGGTTTAGGATAATCATATTCCAACTTTCTGGCTTTTACTTTAAACCCTGAGTCCGAAGTTGTGAGGAGCTAGCTCAGTTAAAGTGGGTTGGGCTTGCAGTTTAGCACTTCTGGTCGCGCATGATTTTGATGGTGCAGGGTGCAAAGATCCCCCAAGCTGAGGTTTGAGGCTCAGTGATTATTTCTAGTATGCCCGGTCTATAAGAAGCTTATACTAAGAGAAGACCATGGGGCTGTGTTCTGCTGTGGTCGCGATTTGAGAACGGCCTTCCGGGTCGCCTTTATGGCGAATTGGTCGCTTGCTTATGAAACTCTTGAAAATATCAACACGAGCGTCGCAGTCGCGGCAAGGGCTAGGGCTTAGAGCACAGGGTCTAGGGATAAGGACTTCAAGCGATTTGGGTCCGTGTCGAGGCTTGACAGGCTTGGCATCAGCTTACGCACCTCGGATTGTGATGCGAACCTCCAAGTTCCGCTCTTCCTTCCTGACCCTAAGCCCTAGACACCTAAACATCTACATGCCTAGCCCTGTAACCCGGTCCTACCTTAACCTACCAAAACCTAGTCTTTTGCAGGGTTTCTGTTAGGGTTATACTAAGAACCTGGTTTGGTAGGTCGGGGTAAATCCTAACCCCCCGAACCCCCTAGCCATCAAAAACACTAAACCCTAAGCCCAAACACTAATTGCAAGGATCACGAACGCTGATATCTCCTCCCACTTGAAGCTGCCACCGGCTCCTTGGTCTGCAATCCGTGCCAAATAACCCAAAGTAACTACTTTTCAGAGTTGGGTTTAGGGCTTAGGGTCTATTTCTAGACTTTAGAACCCAAAGCAACCAAAAGATACCCAAACGTTGTGTACGCGGAGCCTTGCTGATACCCTAAACGGCAACGGTAAATCCTAAACCCTCAACTCCCACCCGAACCCTGAACCTTGAACTCTAGAGCACGAAGACAGCACGCTCTACACCCTGACTTAGCCCCCCTTCCACCAAAAAGTCAATGATACGTTTCTCGGGGCTGCTTCTTATGATTTCCTGACGAAGGTCCCTGAAAGGTAGGTTTTCAGGGTTTCAGGTAAACCCTGAACCCTACTCCTCTCCTAGGTCCTTGCATCCTGGCCTGCCTCGGCCTCCAACAGCCCTAAGCCCCAGAAAAAAGCCCTACACCCCTAAGCGGCATACACTCCATCACCCCTGCACCCCAACACTGAGGGTCCATGCACCTAGCTACCTATACATAGTACTATGCACTGTGGCTGTGAAATTTGAAAGGAGTGTATGTGTATACATACAACTTAATTAAACAAAAAGGCGTGATCACCAGTGACGTTCCACACTACATCTTCGACGCGTCCCCAGATCTCTTGGCTATCAACGGCTATCATCGAAAAACAGCGCTCCGGACTCTTTCAAGGCAGCATCCGGGATTGCATTGGAGGAGGCCGTCGCAATGGCCTCCCTGGTGAAGGCTTTCTGGGACGACAGTGAGGTTTGAAGATGTACAGCCCCGAGCCGCGCATGGTCTTCATGTTGGACAATCGCTAGCGATCTCCTGACAAGCTGGTGACATGGGCCTCCAGACTTGCCCAAGATCGGGGATGCTTGTGACTAAGCCCTAGACGGACGAGGAAGCTGATGTCTCTGCTGCAAGCTCGTCAGCACCTCCCAATGGCTTCGCAGGTTGAGGATGACGGCCAGGCTCTTGCTGTCTAATATAGTGCCTAAATTACAAAATGCGATGTTTTCGGGGGGGGGGGGGAGAGGTTCCTATATACCCCCAAACCCTATTCTAATTATTAAGCCTTATTAAAGCCCCTGTATTAACTATAAATCATACCCTAAACCCTAAACCCAAGGCTTATTAAGGCCCCTGTCTTAACATGAGCCTGAAGAGGAATGTGGTAGAGTCGGAGGCGAGGGCAAGGCGGGATGGTGGATGATTTCCTGTTTGGGAACTGCTATTATATATATATATATATATATATTTATATACACATATGCATATGTATACATATGTATATATAACTCTATACATCTATATGAGTATACACACACACACATATATATATATATATATATATATGATTCTATATATATATATATATATATATATATATATTATGTGTATATATATATATATATATATACAATATGTCCCCCTCAAAGCTCCTCTCTTCAGCATCTTAGCACAATCCCGCAGTCAAGGTCAAGATCCACTGCTCTGTGCTGGCGGAGGAGGCGATCCAGGCGACTTATCTGCAGTACTTGTGGGGGTCATGGGACTTAATAGTTAAGGTTATATGTAGCTTAGTTAGGAATTCTTATGCGACAGTTTACTTTACTTACATTTCTACTGACTAAGTAAGTGACATGATCATCTAAGTAGATGCCTTTTGAAAACAGGGGTCTTTTTTGGGGGCTTTCCTTATAGAAAGGTGTGACGGGTTTGTGCAGGATCTCTTGTAGCTTTTGTGAGATTGTTGCTGCTAGTTACCATGAGCCTTAAACAGTACACTGGCGTCCACGTGTGTGGCCTTCTTTTCCCTGAAGCTCGTGCAGTGTTGAGGGCAGGTTTAGGGTACGGGGCGTTCGGTCAGGGAAAGGGGCCTTATTGACAAGAACAGCTTTGATGCAAAACTGAGTACACGTTTTTGGAGACCATAGGAAGGTCTATGCAAGGTATGATAGAGTTTGGGGCGTAGGGGTCTTTCAGGTTTAGGGCAACTGTTTACTACAATAAGAGCTGCTACAGGGCTACACCCTGACTCAACTGGGTTATAAGGCTTTGAGATTCGAGCTTGATAGAGTTCAGGCCACAGGTGTTCAGAGTGCAGTCCTTGCCGAGTATATAGGTAATAGGGTTTAGGCTTTGGGGTTGGGCTGTCTGAGTTCCGTATTAGGGCTTCCGGCTGTATAGAGTTTTGGTTGTGCCCTTTGGCTGAGGCTGAGCCAAAGCTTGTTCACGAGGCGGTGGGTGAAGCCTTAAACCCTGAATCCCATAGCTATACTCCTCACAACTCCTTCCCAAACCGCCCCCCCCCCCCCCCCGGAAGCCTCAAAAATCCCAAACCTTAAAGCCCCCCCCTAACCCCAAGCCGTATGCCCTAAGCGCCAATCTGACGCCTCAGGCAGCCATTGCAGACTACAAGACCAAGCAAGCCCCTGCAGCAGCTCGGTGGTCTCTGGTGTTTTATGTACAGTGGGGATCTGGCCCTGCGCTGTAGTACAGAAAAGAATAGCATTAATACTAAGAATACTGTACAGAGACTTACAATACTACGAGCATTATTGTAATACCAACTAATACGGCATTGAGACTCTCTGTAGGGCTTTATACGCCCTTTGGGTCCATACTCACTCCTTGTACGTGCAGTTCGGGTAGGCCTGCTAGGGCATCTGTAGCTTTGACTTGAGCTGTGTGTTAAACCTCTGATTAGAGAAGTAGCCTCGAGTAGTAACAATACATCTCGAGCAGAGCCGATGTGTTGTCGAAGAGTTCTTTGTGAGTCGGCAATTTTGGTCAAGCTACGCCCTAGCAAGCCCCGAAGTCCTGAATCCTGAACCGTAATGATTTTGTTATTTTCTGACAAAGTTGCATATTGGTATGGAACTTGCAGAAGATATACAGTAAACCCCATCAAGTTGGAAACCGGGTAAAGGCCAGCAGTTTTCAACTTTCAGCTTTCTACTGCAAGGCCTTCTAACCTCTTCACAAAGGGCGCCCCCCAAATATTCTGAAGCCCTCTGATCTCTACTCGGGGTCACCACGTCCACAAGCTCGAAGATTGAATCCAAAGCCCGAGAACTCAGAGCCCAAACTGAAAGAACCCTGAATCCCAAACCCCGAAACCTCAACATTGAGCGCTAGAGGAAGAATCGCCGCAAAACACAACAAAAACATGAACCCAAAAATCTTCAGTCCCAAACTCTACACCACCAAACTCCTAAACCCTTATCCCCAAACCAAGTCCCCAAGCCTTAAGCCCCAAAGCTCGTCTACGATTCAGGAGTGAGCATTGAAAACCATGTCCAACGGTGCCTTGGCTGTGAGAGATATAGTTCAGTGTTACGACGTGGATGGGGTTTCAGGGTTTAACGTTTTTGGGCTGAAGGGTGGTGTGGGTTTGGATATAGGATGATTATTTATGGTTTAAGTTTCATGGCTTTAGGGTTTAAGGTGCGGGGATTAGTGCTTAAGGTTGAGGTTCTGGCGGAGGCATGGCTTCATGTACCAGCACAGACCAGACAGAGCACCAGACAGACAGCTAGGCAGGCAGGCAGACAGCCAGACAGCCCGCGAGACAGAGAGACACCGAGACCGTGGGACGGAGAGGCAAAGAGCAACACAGTCGGAGACATGCAAGCAGGCAGGCAGGCAGGCAGGCACAAACGCACAGAAACACGCACAAACAGACACAAACACACACAGACACACAGATACACAGACACACAGACAGACAGACAGCCAGCCAGACCGACGGACAGACAGCCAGCCAGCCAGGCAGGCAGGCAGACAGGCAGACAGACGCGCACACACAGACACAGGCACGCACTTCCCAGGCCCTAAACCCTAAACCCTGCCATAAAGCACAGCACACGCCAGATCCCCAATACCACTGCTTTGCCGAGGCTACTCATCCGGAGTGAAAGAGTGAACCGTGCCTGATGTCTCCAAGTCAGCTGAGGTAAGCTTAATTGGGACTTTTATAAAATCTTAGGGTCTAGTTCAGGGTTGATATGGTTCCGAGTGAGTTGATGCAAGCTTGCTCAGGACGGTAGGTGGTTCTAAAGGGTGTTAACAGGATTTGTATAGGGTTTCTTATGAGTTTTGTAGGTAGAGGTTTTGGCAAACCGAGAGTGCCCCATGCAGGGGTCGTTATGTCAAGGGTCCTTCGCTATCCCTAAACCCTAAAGCGTACACATGTCAGCCACTTGAGTTGGAGAATTCTGCATCATCAGGCACATGTACAGATTGCCACATGTGGGTTGCTCCAAGGCAACGACACGTGCCCACAAAGCCATGACAGGGCGTTGAGGCAGAATAGAACCTAAACTTAACCCCAAAAGCCCTGCCACTCCAACTAAGCATGCATAGCTATAAATGAATATACTTAAGTATATATGGAGAGCACAAAAGTATAAAAATACGGTCGCCAAATCCAACTGGATATACAACTAGTCAAAAGTTTGTATATGCGGATGTGTATGTGGGGTGCTGGGTTTTTGGGTTTAGGGTTGTTTAGCCGAAGGAGCAGCAAAGACAAGTTGCTCCGTGTTAACATCTGCTCCTCTTCAAAAACTCTAGGCACCGTCGCTTTAAAAGGAAACCCTTAGGGGTTTAGGATATCTTGTTCCACCAACAAGCACCCCTACAAACGTCTATCTCTTTTTGAGGCGTGCGTCAGCTGCTTAGCATTTTGGGGTTCACTGCGCCAGGACACAGAGGTCCCTATACCCTAAACCGTGGCCGCGGGGGTTCGGGCTTGATAAGTTTGCCTCTATGACTCTATGACTGTGGAGGATCCATGAGTTGCACCCGGACCCTACCTTGCCGGCTCAGAGTTTACGCATAGGTAGCCTTTGGCTTGGTATTGGTAGCAGAATCTCTACACAAACTCTGATGATTTCAACATGAGAAAGGACTCCTAGATGTAGGTTTCCGCGCTTTCGGAGCACCCCAGCATGTGTCGCAAAAGACAACGAACCTGTTGTTTTCCGCTGCTTGATGGATGAGCCAACCGTTCTGCGTTCAGTAGTGGAACGCAACAAATATGCGATGACATATATACCCCAAGCCGTATTTCGGGTTTAAGTATGCTTGGCAAGCCAATATTCCCGAGAGCCCTGAGCCCAGTCGAAATTTAAGGAGACAGGCAGAGGGTGTATCCGAATAGTGATCCTACATTCTACTACATACTAGATCCTAATAGTAGGATCCTGACTCGTAGATACGGCCTCCTAATTTTTGCGGAAGCCTCCGAAAAACTCCGATAGTCCCATTAGTGCCATGACTTCCTGGGCCTACACCCGCTACAGCAGAAATGTAGACCCTCAACAGCCTAAGGACCCGAAGCAGAACACAAAAAGTATACTTTCGGAAACCTTAACCCTAAGATGTAAACTCCTAAAGCCAGCAGCCCACCGCCCGTTTCCCATTTTCGAGACTACATGGAGCTGAGCTGAGCACACAGATAGTCACGAGCAAATTTGCATATTTGGACCTTGCTACTTAGGGTGTATAGTTTGTACCTTAACCTACCCAAAACCTATTTTTTTGAAGGGTCCCTATAAATCCCATGTTAGTGTGCTAATGAGAACCTACAATCACGTAGGGTTTGGTATAGGTTAAGGAAGGGTTTACAGTGTAAAGACAAATTTTGGATATCGATGCAAGGTTCTGTGTCTACATGGCAGCACATAACATACAGGTCTCAGTAGCTTGTACTAAACTCCCCTCATAGCTCCATATTAGTTCTGTTCACAATATGCCCCAAGGCCTTATGACAATAATTAAGCACCTCCGTGCCGATCTCGGCTGGCACAGACCTCACTTTGACTCCTTTTCAGAGCCCCGAGACATGCGAAAAATTGGGACCCCCAGAAGAGCCATAGCTTAACCAATACAATGATAGGAGATACGCGTTTTCGGATTCCATGTTTTTCATCCTTCGGGTTCGCTTAAACAAGGGCCTTTATAATCAGCTATACTATGTTTTATTGTTTTTTTTTGTTGGCGGTGGGGTCCTTATTATACTTATATTATAATGGGCCCCAAAATCCTATTCTAATCATTCAGGCCCCTATATCAGTGTTAGTGTGAGTGTGGGTTCCTTTGACTGAGACGGTTTCCCTGGTGCCTCAGCAAGATCACCCTCGAAGTTCCTTCCTGGTATAATCCTGCGAAGCTTAGTAGTAGAGTAGGTAAGCCCTAGCCGTCTTGAAGCTCAACCTTCATTTGTTTGTAGAATCTTAGAATACTGGACAACTAGGTTGAGATATCGGTACCCATGACCGAATAGCAAAACTACAGAGGCTACGGGACTTTTTAAACATCATGCAGACCGTCTGGTACCCAGAGCACCATCGCTTGTTTGTTTGATATAGAAGCCTAGATGAGTACCAATTTTGTTCCTTAGGGCTCCTTTTTGTAAACATACTAGGAAGGAGCCCAAAACCCTGCTCTACTTATTATGAAGGCCCCGACATTAGGCTACAGGGCTTCCCGGCTCATCTGTCGTGGTCACAAACCGATCCTTGTGAGCTGCCTCAAAGCGGTGCAGTTTTGAAGGGGATCACTAAACTTAGATAGCCAATGGGAGAACCTTAAGCTTCTTGGCCTTGTATTTTTGGTCTATCGTCTATCGTACAAAATTTGGACGTAAAGGGCCGGATATTGACGAAGAGAGTGACAAGGTATACAGTGTACACCATATGGGTACATGGACCTTTGGGGCTAATTGGCATGCAGCGTGCAATGTACTCCTCCACGCTTCTGCCAGAACCTTTAGCGCTTAGGGGTTTGGGGCTTCGGTTTACGGTCTAGGGTTTACAAGGCTAGCAGGAGTTTCTTGAGTAGGACTTTGAAGAGCGGGTGGTTGCGTATTCGGGCTCCGGAATGCGAGTGTGAAACTAGGCCATGTCAGTGTGGCATACTTACTGAGGCCAGAGTCAAGGGCAACCTGGTTACACCTCATTCGTATACCCTTCCGCAATCATTGTTTCATACCGTATAAGGTCTAATATATACCTCTGGGCCCCAAAACACCTATATAGGAATCCCTCTAGGGCCTCAGTATATACTACATGAGTACATGGAGCCAATGGGGACGATGTTGCAGTAAACCGTACTCTGGAACTCGCAGAAGACTCTGACACAACCGGATATAGGGTTCAGGTTGAGCGTTTGGAGTTTAAAGGGAACTCCAGAAAGTTGGAATATGGATCAATGGTAGGATCGACAGTATAATTTACCTTAAAGGGGTTACGATAATGATATTCCAACTTTCTGGCTTCTACTGTAGGGTTTAGGGTTCAGGGTCTGGGGTTTAGGGTTTGGTCAAGGGCCGATGATGGTGGCGATTAACTCTAGGTGGGCCTTTGGGGCAATTGATGCTTTTGATTTCATTGGGCTACAGTTCTTTCTCAGAGGCCTTGAAGGCCAAGGGTAGACTCCAAGGGTAAAAGGAGGGACCCTGAATACGGACCCCTTAGTACATACCCTTAATATAGCCATGACATACCCATTAATTAGCCCAATATAGGGTAGGGGTCCCCATAAAGGGTCCCTCCTTTTCCCCTTTGATAGACAAGACTTCCTTAGTTTTCCACCGTGCAGCCCTTGAAGTTTTCTGCTTCACTTCACTCTACTACCATCCCGAGGGTTTGATTCTGAAGAAGTAAATGTTGACGAATGTCAATTAGAATTCGTTTTCTGAATCTGCTCTTAGTCTGTTTCTTCTGGGCATTTGATCCTTAACAAGTTAGTTCTCAGTAGTGTCATTTACTATTATTCGTATTCTAACGCTGTTCTTGTACTACTACCATGACTATTACTAGTATTTCCAGGCGTCGTTGAGACGTATAAGCAGAAGGCCCTAAACCCTACTTGAAGGCTCAGGGGACTTAGTAAGTAAGGTTATAAGTAGGATATAATTGGGATAACCCCACTTAGGGGACTTATAACCCCAATTATAACCTACTTACTAAGATCCATGATCCTCTAAGTAAACCGGTCCCCGAGAATGTGCTCCGGAGTGCGGCGCCCATTGCTTCTCTCGTAGCGCCTTCGGATCGACCTCGCTGCCCGGCGTGCAATAGTGCAGGGGCCTTAATAATTAGAACAGGCTCCATTTAAAGGGTTCGAAAAGGGATCTATCGTAGGATACTATAGTATCGGGGCCTTAATTAATGATTGGAATAGGCTTTTGGGCCCATTGTTATACTATAATCATGGTAAGGAGCCCCGCCAAAATAGTATAGGTAGTTATTAATGCCCCTAAATCAGGGCTTTTGG